TTATAATAAGAAAAACGAAATATTTTCTTATTAATATTAGCAAAATGTTAACGTATTATTTAAATAAATCAAAGGCTGATAGCTACGGTTACTATACAAGGAATACTATAAAAACAAAAAAGTGATTATATCTCGTCAGTGGCGTTTCAGCGATTCTCTTTCAAATGGAACAGCTTTCAGCACTACACAAAGTAGAAATTGTGATATATTATTATTATAAATGAAATGATTACATTATTTGTAAATTTGTGATGATTGTAATATTATTATTCACAAACCCTCTCGATATAAAATACAAAAACTTTACAGTCAACTTTGTGAAGTTATTTTAAATGTACATCATATCCCCTATTCACGTTATTTATATTTTTATTTCTCAATATGTTAGAAAGAGAGAGAGAGAGAGAGAAGTAACAAATAAATTATACCTTGTACGAAAAGCTTTTGTTTATTTTGATAAGCAAATAAGGGAATAATCCTGTGCTTAATAGAAAACGTGGTCGTCGAGTTTAGTAAAAATTATTTTTATTTCGAAACGGTATTAAATAATAACGTTAATTATAAGGGCTGCCAAATCAATACTTGTGGCTTGCAATCGTCTTTTAGCAGCAATAACGTTGCACGAGTATTACACGCGGTTATGCCATTTCTGTTTTTCCCCCGTTTAAAAATGGACATAAACATATTTTTTTGTTACCGTTAAATACATTATTACACTGACCTGTTATACAACTATTACATACGTACACCCGAGTGTATGCATAATGTGTATGCGTCTAGCGTGATAATTTCAGTTATAATCAATGATCATTATTCGACCTACATCGTTCTACAATTGACAACAAATATTTAATCTATAATTTGACATTAACTACCTATGCAAGGCATCGATGACGATATTATTTTTACTTCGTTACGCTTGTTTACTTTTTTCCTTCTAAACTATATAAGCTAGGGGCCCCTAATGTTATTAGGACAGTGAGTTAATGATTACATCGATTGTGTGAGGATTCCAGGATCATAACACGTTTAGCTTGTCATGAACTTATTTTAAGCATACGCCGTGCGGTTTCTCCCGTCGAACTTCGATAAATATACAAAATACATATAAAATTGTAAATAGCCGCGATAAAGAGAGAGAGAGAGAGAAAACTTACAGAAAAATGTAACAATGTAAGGATACAAAATACGTCCATCGTTGTTTTTACATACATAATACGATCTATCTCCCGTCGACATAGACTCTCCTGTGTGACTCATTCGCTATTTTCCCTTTAGGTTGCATTTTGAAATCGCTTCGCTTTCGCTACGTCCGAACATTACCTATATAAATATTGTTGTAAGCGTGCACAAGTTATAGGGGCCCTCGCTAAATCGGTGGTCCGACGACGTTAACGAATTCTCTATTGTTCGATTTCAGAGACTGAACGAAATTTTACACATCGGGTGGTCTCGCAGTTCCGTTCGTACAATAAAACGATCGTATTTTATAAACCAGAATGACCGGAATGAACGACGAGAATTAATTTGCAACTGTTGTGTTCGATTCAACCTTGCGCTGACCGGACATCCGGCCACCACGAACTTCGAATCCGATCGAGGAAGTAAGCTCATTATCGGCCATGACCTAATTCCTGCTAACAAGAAAACGTGCCAAAGTAATATTCGCCGATTGTTATGCAACTTCGGTAGAAAGCAATTCTTGCAGTACTCGTTTGCTGGTTACCATTTATTTGATAGTCCTTTATACTATATATGTATAATATAATGTAATATTATATATATATTATATGTAGTACATACTATAATATACTATATATATACTATATTATTATAATATACTATAATATTATATAATAGTCCTTTATACAATAAACTCTAAGGCTTACAGCTGACATGTACATCGGTGTATCTTGGAAACTACTGGAGATAGAATAATAGAGAAATAAACTTTCATTTATTTTAACACGTTAAGCACCGAATAAGAAACTCCAAAAATTCTCACAATATCAAAATCATTTAGCTTAATGAAACCGAAAGTTAAAATATGCCATAGAAAATATTCATTTAATTCTTTTGTATACTAAAAATCCTAGCAACACTCAGACCATACAATATGTTGCAATAACAATGAATTTCAAAATCTAGTTAAACATTATCGTCGTAGTGTTAATAATGTATTTAACATCAACTAATTATCTCATAGGGTTTTATAGATTTGTTAATCAATTTGTCAACAGCCTTAGTAATTGCAATTGTAAACCGACGAGTCATCCTCAGCTACGGGTAAAATGTTTAAAACAGTATTTTCTTACTCGTTCTCCGATTCAATGTTTTTCTAACATATTTACAAGTGAAAAATACAAGAATGATCAATGATACACGATGACGATAGACTCTTTAACTTTAGGAGGCTTTGTAAGAAATTACTTTCTAGCAAAATTGCATAAAAATCGATGGATATCATTCCGGCGCATTCGAATCGCACGATTTTCAAAACCATCAACATCGATCAAAAATCACTTCGCCAGCCTCGCTATCACCCTTGCAAAATTGCTAATCGGAAACAACATTTATAAAAGGCGCAAACCTATACACGCCGAGAGAGACTTCACAAGAAAACCTCTAATCGTAAAGACATTGCGAAAAAGGCCGGAACAGAAGTCACGCGCTACACGAGCAATGTTTTTTTTTTACACGCGAACCGTTAAAAAGGTGAGTCGCTTTTGTCAAACATGTTTATTCGAATCACGCACTGCCCCTTTTTTTACTAGGCTTATCATTCGTATGATACAGCCAATGGCGTATCGTCGCGATCCTTATAGTGAAACTCATTCAAAACCTCCGATAAACGGGACGTTACATCTTGTATTGGATTATATACATATGTATCTTACAAAGCACCATGGAACTATTTCTATACAATACATATAGGGTGTCTAACTTATTCATGATACAAAGCTATATATAACAGTCAATCAGGACGTACAACTCTTGTGGTTTACGGTTTTCTTCGATTGTTTGTTTAGGTACCGATATCTACATGTACAAATCTACATACAAGGTGTTTCCACCAGCTTATCACTTGAAATATTTTCGTTATCATATCATTCAAATGTTTCACAGCAGTTACACAGTTTTATTCCGCTTTTTGCCGACTACATTTTAGTTTTTTTTATAAACGTATTAATTTCTTTTTCTTAGATAAATTCAACGATCTACAATTTATAGTTCTTTACAAGTATCGCAAATATGCTAAATAATGATGTTTGTAAATTCAAAGGACATGCTTTATCCTACGCATCGTACAGTTCAAAAGTATTGTATGATTCAGATAATAAATATGTAACCCGTTGCTTTATTTTGACTAATAAACGATTTTTCAATGTATGTGATCTGTTTTTTTGTTTATGCAGTATTTCCTATCGAGTATGGGATCTTGCTTGAAACGTCTTTTGCTGTTTGTCTACGAAGATCTCGCAAAATACATATGGACGGTAAATGTTTATCAAGAAATCTTTTGACATACTAACATTTTGTTCATACTACATTTTCAAAGTATGTGTAACAACTAAATATCATTTCAAGCTTCTCTTCGTTGTTATATCTTGTTCGGATAATGATTTCATGACTCGTATTTGATTTAAATTTCACATGGAAACAAACTAAAAATCTGCAACGGGTGACGGATGAACGGATGCATAGATAATTGAATGTTAAACAATTTCCTAAACAGAAATTCAAATGCCATTTTCCTTCATCACCTTCAGTTATTGTGTAGTTCAATGTTGAAGAAAGTCAAATTTTCAACTTTGAGAATTATTTCTACTATACTCTGTTTTAGTGTAGATTGTAACGCTTAGTAAATCATTGAATTTGCCTACAAAGAGACTATTCCAACTAATCCGATCTNCTAAAAATCTGCAACGGGTGACGGATGAACGGATGCATAGATAATTGAATGTTAAACAATTTCCTAAACAGAAATTCAAATGCCATTTTCCTTCATCACCTTCAGTTATTGTGTAGTTCAATGTTGAAGAAAGTCAAATTTTCAACTTTGAGAATTATTTCTACTATACTCTGTTTTAGTGTAGATTGTAACGCTTAGTAAATCATTGAATTTGCCTACAAAGAGACTATTCCAACTAATCCGATCT